GAGACGGGGTTTCACCATGTTGACCAGGATGGTCTCGATCTCTTGACCTCGTGATCCACCCGCCTCGGCCTCCCAAAGTGCTGGGATTACAGGCTTGAGCCACCGCGCCCGGCCGCAACAAACTTTTAAGATATTACCTCTTACCTGGCGTGGTGGCTCAAGCCTGTAATCCCAGCACTTTGGGAGGCCGAGGCGGGCAGATCACCTGAGGTCAGGAGTTCAACATGGAGAAACCCCATCGCTACTAAAAAATGCAAAATAAACCGGGCATGGTGGCACATGCCTATAATCCCAGCTACTCGGGAGGCTGAGGCAGAATCGTTTGAATCTGGGAGAAGGAGGTTGTGGTGGGCCGAGATGGCACCATTACACTCCAGCCTGAGCAACAAGAGCGAAACTCTGTCTCAAAAAAAAAAAAAAAAAAATACTACCTATTGTTGAATTTCTCTTCACTTTTTTCCCCCCACACAATTCATGCAGAAATTATCTTATTGAGTTTTAGAATTGTACAAAAGGATAGACATAATTATCTGAAAAGGTGATTGAACTCTTCTTCCTTTCCAACTACATATCTATGTGAATCTAGGTTTTCTTCATGTACTTCAGTCAAAACCACCTATCATGACAGACTGGAGAAGCAGATACGAAAATCCACTGACTTCTCGGTTGGGCATGGTGCCTCAAGCCTGTAATCCTAGCACTTTGGGCAGATCACCTGAGGTCAGGAGTTTCAGACAGCTTGGCCAACATGGTAAAAGGGAGGCTGAGGCATGAGAACTGCCTGAACCTGGGAGGCGGGGGTTCCAGTGACTCAAGATCACGCCACTGCACTCCAGCCTGGGTGACAGAGTGAGACCCTGTCTCAAAAACAAAACAAAACAGGGTCTTACTCTGTCACCCAGGCTAGAGTGCAATAGTATAACCATGGCTCACTGCAGCCTAGACCTGGACCTCCAGGTTCAAGCAATCCTCCCATCTCAGCCTCCCCAGTAGCTGGAACCACAGGTATGTAGTACCATGCCTGGCCAATTGTTTTTATTTTTTGTAGAAAGAGTTTCACTATGTTGCCTAGTCTGGTCTCAAACTTCTGGGCTCCTGCCTAGGTCTCCCAAAGTGCTGGGATTACAGGTATGATCCACCTCTACAGGTATATCCCAGCCACTATAGATATTTTAAATTCCCTCAGCAGCTAACAGGATCAAATAGCAGACAGATTCATATAATATGTAACAGACTACATGTACAAAATAATATAATTTTACACACTAATTCTTTTTCAAATAGGAATGCTTAAATTTCTGTAACTTAAGTGAGTACATATATATGTACTCCATCACATACTCATAGAGATTAGTTTTCTATAAATGAAGCTTAATATATGTGTTTTGTGATAGATGATAACTTTCATGATTTTTGCTTATTTAAACTTGTTCTCAGTCATATTATAGAGAGTTGCAGGCCAGATGTAGTGGCTCACACCTGTAATCCCAGCACTTTGGGAGGCCAAGGCAGGCAGATCACTCAAGGTCAGGAGTTTGAGACCAGCCTGGCCAACATGGCGAAACCTCGTCTCTACTAAAAATACAAAAAGCAGCTGGAGGCCGGGCGCAGTGGCTCACGCCTGTAATCCCAGCACTTTGGGAGGCCGAGGCGGGTGGATCATGAGGTCAAGAGAT